GGAGAGATTCATTTCTGTTGATTCGCCCGTTTTTAGCATTTTTATGAGAGTGTCAACAAGTGCACCTTCCAAAATATTGACAGAATTTTGGAAATGGAGGGCAGAACTGAATCGTGTTGGTATCGTATGGTAGTATAGTATAGCATTATGCTTGTTTTTTGTTGTAACTCAGAAGAAAGTAGAAAAAATAGCATGGATCGGTCTGGTCCCATCAACTTGAACTTCTTCTTACCTCAGGCTACCTATGTCCCTACCATGTCTCTGCTTTGGAATTAATTATGCGCTGTACCTTGAAGGATAGGTTCAGCACATCAGAGGTCATGCTCTTGGGAGGACCATCTCTTATAGATTCTTGTCTTCTCTTTCCTCCTCCTCCTCCTCACCCTCTTTCTTACCTCTTGATTACCTGTACTGCCATCGAAGTAGTTATGAGAAATTGCTGATTTCGATCAAGGATTATTACTTGATGATATTTGGAGAAACTTTCAAAGCCGTTCAAGACCGTCCGTTCCCATCCATCGGAGACTTTCCTCCTCGTCGTCTTGTCGTGTCTATGGATAACTTTGACGTTTTCTTCGTTCTCATCAGCCCATCTAATTATTGTCCATTACAATGGATTTTATGATGCCGATTCAAGGGCATGTCAATGGGCAGCCTTTTGCCTCCCACCCATTCGTTCACATCATTTTCAATCATAAAATTTGCCCCACCACGGTTATTCATTCGCCGAGAATTCGATGATTTTTCTTCAGTCATTTGCGAATCGTCTGATTTTTCGACCGAAAATTTTCGAAATCGAACCTAATGACTTACTCTTTATAGCATTCTTGCTCATGCAGTCGATCTGCAAAGTTTTGTTTATCAAACTTTGTTTATTGGTTGACATTTGTGCTTATTTACTTATTTATCTTGTGTTCAGTGGGCCGAATTGTAAACTATTACTGTAAAAAGTCACTTTGCAAAGTACCTCTCTCCGTTTCATCCCCCACTTGTGGGTTTCACTGTGGATCCTCCC